TAGCGCTTATGCTAACAGTTGTTATGTTAGTCTCACGAGTACCACAGGACGCTCTGGTGTTTTTTTCAGATTCAGACTAACACGGCTACCCCTCTGATACTAGCTACTGTCAGAGCTGCCAGTGGGCAAATCCAATGTAACCACATGAAGGCATTTTCCCATAAAGTGCTGGATGGCAGATACGGAGATGCCCCTTTGATGGTGTGGAACACTGCACACCTGGATCCTACTGATGCTGCCTGTTCGATGCTCCAGAAACAGGGTGAGGGTGGTGAAGCACTGGAATGGGTTACCTAGGGAAGTGGTGGAATCTCCATCCATAGAGGTTTTTAAGGTCAGGCTTGACAAAGCCCTGGCTGGGATGATTTAGTTGGTTATTGGGTCCTGCTCTGAGCAGGGGGTTGAACTCGATGACCTCCTGAGGTCCCTTCCAACCCTGCTATTCTATGATTCTATGAGGCTGCTGCCAATATGTCCCAGGGAAAAATCTCTTCCCATCCGGAGAGCATGCGAGCAAGAATCACCCCAGTTAAGCACTGAATCCTTTTTGTGCCTGTGAGCTGCTGTTGTGTATTCAGACCCTGTGGGGAAGTGCAGAGCTACTCTGCTGAGTCACCCAGGCAGCCTGACCAGGTGGACCTCATTACCTCCAACGCGGTAGTAGAAAAAACAAAGTTCTCAGAGGCAGAGCTTAAGGGAAGGAGAACTCAATAAGTAATCAGCCTAGACTAGGACCTGCTTGTCTATACAGTCCTGCCTGGCTTTGTTATATCACTTCTGGATACAGCCAAACCCCAAGAAGGGAGTGTCTGGACAATAACCAATTGTGTGTGTTAGGCAGAGAGAGGGATGGGAACCTCCTGGTATCTCAGAGAACCCAATTACAGCACCCCACAGTCCCACTGGTCTCCAGCTAATTATCCAGAGCTTCATTCATCTAGACAAGAAGCCACCAGCACTATGCCATGATGAACCGTGCTTTACAGAGAGGTGTTCCTCTATCACACTCGCACTCCCCACATCCAGGGGACACCCACTCTGGCACTGACGGGTCATGTCATGACAAAGCAACTCACGTTAGAGAGAGATCCGGGTATTACTACAACTGAAATGTCTCCCAACCCTCCCACCAGCCTAACCCTGCTAAAATCCTCCTTCAGATCTTTGTCACCCACCTCTTCTAACCTCAAGTCCTTCAGCTTGACTCCACAGCAGGGGCCAATGCCATTGGAGGCAATGAAGTTGCATCCATTTAGCTGAGCTATGAATCTGGTCCCCTCATCTCTAGGTCTCAGAGGCTCTGACATACAGTAGCCAGTGTCTTCCTTCAGTCCCATCCTCCCACTATCAACAGTGGCTTCCTATTCATTTCAGGATCCAATTCAGCACTGCCTTCCTGCTTTCCCAAGGAGTCCCTCGCCCTACCTACCCACCCCTCTGCTGTTCCTCCTCCAACTCTCCATGGGTTTGGAAAGATGCTCCAGCCGGCCTCTTTGAGCCACTAAGCAGCCCCATCTCTGCACCCTCAACAGGCTGTCCAAAGCACTTTCCCATACCATGCATCAAGGAAGCGCCTTCCATGTCAAAAGCACAACTGCCCGTGCTGGGGTCTGCATCTCAGCCAGTCAGACCCAGCACACAAAGGGTTACGCTCCTGACCACAAGAAGCTGCCAGGTCACCCACATGATTCCACAGTCCATCAGAGCAAACCACTGCGAAATCATGTCACTCCCAGGGAACATTTACCTGCCAGAGAGAGGGAAAGCCAGCGGAGGGGTGCGGCTGTTTTGCTTCAGCTCCCACTACAGCAATGAGAAAGCAAAGAGCAGAGAGAGGGGAACCACACGCTGGAACACCCCCCAAACCAGTGCAAGGAGGAGAGGAAGGTGATGGAGGAAAGCCAGAGGAGGAAGGAAGCGGAGAGAGAGAGGAAGTGAGGAGATACTCACCAAAGAGACATGAAGAGGTGCCAGGAGGAAGAACTTTCCTCACCAGCATGTTTTGTTTCAGAAAAGCAGCAAACTGAGCTGAAATGAATCAGAGAGAATTACAGTATCACAGCTGGCTCTCACTGGGGGGGGAGGGGACAGGCAGGGGGCAGGCAGCTCTGCAGCCACCACTCACTCTCCAGGACCCAAACTGGCCAGCAGAGAGCTCTGCACACCCCACTCACTCCCTGGGACCCACAGCTGGTCCGCGGGGAGCTCTGCACACCCCACTCACTCCCCTGGACCCAGAGCTGGTCCGCAGGGAGCTCTGCACACCCCACTCACTCCCCTGGACCCACAGCTGGCCAGTGGGGAGCTCTGCAGACCCCACTCACTCCCTGGGACCCACAGCTGGCCAACCCAGTGGGACCCACTCACTCTGACAGATGGAAGACAGCTTCGTGATGCAGCCTCAGGGCATCTGGAGACAGCACTGACTGATCCCCGAAACTGCAATGCATCACACCCTCCTGGAAAGGGGCAACAGGTCTGGAGACATCCCTCTCCCTCCCTCCCTGAGAGCACTACCAAACTACACACCATCCTTCCCACAGCCCCCTGACTGTCCCCTGACTATCGCCTCCAGGGAGCACGAGCAGGCTTGAGATGTCTAGTATTGGAGCTGTGCACACAGACGCCCTTCAGCTAGTCACACTGGGCATCTCTGAGCTGAAATGCTGGCAATGACTGGAAAACAGTAACTAGTACACGCAAACATTCATTGCCACAAAACTTCGATGAACCTCCCTCTCGACTGTCTTTACCCTGCAGAAGTGTCTGCCAAGATACCCACCACAGAGCCTTCTCTTGCTTAGTTCCCTTCACGCTCTCACCAGGAACTTGCTCCTATAGCTAAAACATAGGTCGGAGCAGACTTCAACGGTTCTTGCATTGCTCTACTATGTGGGAGACCTGGACTCAAGTTCCAGTCTGCAACCTACTGTGAACCAGAGAAAGAATGCATAGAACTAGCAGGAACACAGGGCAATGCTGAAGGGGAACTGGCAGGCCTGTTCGGATCTGTCCTGAGCAAAGGAAGCAAGAAAGATTGGAGACTGGAGAACTACTTCCCAATTATCATAGAAACATAGAATATCAGGGTTGGAAGAGACCTCAGGAGGTCATCTAGTCCAACCCCTGCTCAAAGCAGGACCAATCCCCAACTAAATCAATAGTGTTTGCCAGGAGGGCTTATCTATGGTCCATCCGTGACAAAATATTATTCACAAGTTCCAGAGGAAAACATACCTGCCACTCCACTGAGAGACAAGGCAGGGGAGGTAATATCTTTTATTGGACTGACGTCTGTTGGCGAGAGAGACAACCTTTCAAATTTATACAGCGCTCCTGTTCTGGTAACTCAAAAGTTTGTCTCTCTCACCAACAGAAGTCGTTCAATAAAAGATATCATCTCACTCACCTGGTCTCTCTAATATCCTGGGATCAACATGGCTACAACAACCTCACCTACACTGACAGACCACTGACTGTCAGACCTTTCCGACCTCTTTCCCCGCACGACTGAAGGTGCAAGATCTTATCAGCATCCCACAGGACAAAAAACACGGCTCAGGTTAGCCTTTCCTTCTTGGTGGCTGGCCCTCCCCGCCTTCTAGACCGGGGTAGTCAATTATTTTTTGTCAAGGTCCAAGATCAAGCTTCAGTCATGGTCCAGATTCCAGAAAAAACAACAACAATGATGATGATAAGTAAATAAGATTTTGGGGTCCGTTCAAAAGCATCTGGCAGTCTAGATTTGGCCTGCGGTCCGCCTACTGACTACCCCTGCGCTAGACCCTCATCTTCATCCTGTCTCAGTGGCCTGACCCACCCCAACCACCCTTTACTCCCTAGAAAAATCTTCACCGATACAAACCACCAACCCATCAAGCGCTCCCAAATGGATGTGCCCACACCCACTGGGCCGACATTCTACAACTGCACGATGATTTGGCCACCAGGACGGGCAAAGACCCTTCCCAGGCTCGGCAATAGCAAAACAAAGGCCTGTAAGTGACTCACCCTTTTATGGCACAGAGACTACCATTTCCTGCCCAGAGTCAGCTCCCATATGCCACTGCTTAGGAGTGACAGTGCATAGGGCTTGAGCTGTGGGGAGACTGCCCCATCTGAATGTCACACGGCCAAAGGAAGTTTGCAGACTTTAGATTAGTCCTGCGGGGCAAAATATGAGCATAGCAGGACAGTGACACCCACCAAGAGGCTTTACCAGGGTAACAAGGAGGAAGCAAGTGGAGCAAGCTGCTGGAGCGTTACCTTGTGCCTGCTTGTGTGTCAGGACCCCGTCTGTTCTCTGCACATGTCTCTTCAGAAGCTGGGTGGCACCCATCTGGCTGGACTTCTGGACAGATGACACAGCAGCCATTTTGGTTTTGGGACTCGAGGTGGGGCTACTGGAGACACTGGACATATCCTGCCCAAACGAGAAGGGAAGCCCCATCCAGTCAGGTTTCCATGGCAGGATGCAGCGATGGGTTATTCATAATGCTTGGTGTAGCAATTACTTTACATCTCCACAAATCAGTAGTTCCCACTTGACCCTCACAACCCCCGATGACCAAGCTTGATATCACCATCCCTGTTTTACAGATGGGGAAACTCAGGCATGGAGGGCAGGTAACCTGCCCAAAGTCACCCCAGGAGTCAGTATCAGAGCAAGGATTAGCATTCAGGAATTGAAGCCTCCTCGCCCGGCACTCCGACCCCCAGGCCAAGCCCCCCCACCAGCACTCCGACCCCTAGCCCAGTCCCCTCCCCCCACACACACACACACCTCTGCACTCCGACCCCCAGCCCAGGCGCCCTCCCGCTTATATACCAATGCTAGAAGTCTAAATAACAAGATGGGTGAACTAGAGTGCCTCCTATTAAATGAGGATATTGATGTAATAGGCATCACAGAAACTTGGTGGAATGAGGATAAT